AATAATACCGAGATGTGCTGAAGTTTACAAGCGGAACTACTGAGCGTACGCGAGTGCATGGAAGGCCATAGCCAACGGAAGAATGTATGTTATTTGTACACTTAAACAAACAGGTACAGCAAAACAATCACTGGTACAATTAGTTATAATAGTTGTTTCCATTATACCAATCGCGTTCTTTCCATAAAAGTAGGACGCTAAAATAGTTTGGCCATTTAATAGGTCATGGGCGTCCTCAGGGCATGTTTCCCCCTAGAAAGGATGGCACTATTGACAAACCTCCATCTGTATGACTTATTTTGACAGGATACATGTAATATTCAGCCACCAAATTACTGTTATTTAAAAGAAAACAGTCACAGCAACAAAAGTTTGGCATGGCCAAGTCATCTATATTTGCACACCATAATTAAGCACCTACTGGCATCAACGTAGACGTATTCAACTCAGCAATCGGAGAATTCCTACAACAAATGACAAGGAACACTTTATGCTATTGACATTCTTCCAAAAAGGGTTGCAAGATAGTGAACCAGGTGACTGAACGTCTAATTACTTTTGCGTCTATGTTTCATTCAAAACTTGAATTCCAGGTATCCCTCATGTCGGATGACCATTTTTCGAATAATTCCGTTCAATCGAATTAAAGGAATCTATATCTGGTTGGATGACATTTGATTTGCAAAGTTTCAGGAAAATTTATTTCCTTAGATAATTGACTATTTATTTCGAAACTGTTTGATATTGAAAATGGCACAGGTATTCAGTGTTTGACAACGTTTTTACCAGTAACACCTAATATAACTCGTACCCACCAAGAGAAATCAAAAGACAGAATCGAGGAGATCAGAAGTTGTACTTGACGATTGCCAATATATCGGAATTGTCTGATCTAGTCTGGCTAGCGATTGCAGTAGATGTTGAGCACGGCGTTCCCACACGTGATCTGGTGAGGATGCATGACCGAGCGCCTTCAGCTAGGTGAGTCCACTAAAACTAATCTGGTCAGCATCCAATGTCAAAAACTTAGTGCTATTTATTTTGGGGATTTATTTACCGCTACAGTAGTTTGGCCCAACCGACCAAAATTCGATTCGTTATTTCTGTATTATGACCAAATACTAGTATTCCCGTCGTTACAGCTTGGACAAGGAGACTGCAAGGAAAAGTCAGCCACAGAGCTACAGTGAAGACTCCAGGTCTTACAAGCACTATTGTTTAACAACACTAAACTATCTCTGTTACTTCCAAACTCAGACAGTTTGGAATTAAAATAACTGTGGAGGTTGGTTCAGACACATGTACATTTGTGCAGTCGAAATTCAAAACAAAGTGGTTGGGTAACGAATGGTTTTGCATAAAGTTATAAATTTAAATGTACAATATCATTTGAACAAGTATTACCACACAGTTATTCAACCAATAATTGTTTAATAAACAGTCAAATCTGAATCACATTTAATAGATAAATTGATAAAAGATATAAAGTAACTATCGGTTTCAATGCATTAATGAATTAACCGATACGGGGATATTATTCAATCTTTTCGGGTAAATTGCGTAAATTTTGTCGAAAATGCAGTATTTAACTCCACAAAACTATCAACAAGAAACCATCAAATTTATACCATTAATCACTTGTCGTAACGCTGAGTTTTGGAAGTTTTGGAAGTATGTTCCAGTTCAGAATAACAAATCGAAAATTTCAGCTAATTCAAACAGCACAATTAAAATAGAGTATGGATTAGTATGGCCACTGGTATAATCGAGATGTCGGGCAAAATAATATAAACGCATGCATTGCGAATCACAGAAATCAAATGGAAAAATAAAGAAAAAAACATCGCAATAAAAATAAATGGTAGCCATCTGACCTAGAATAAAACAGCAAGAAGAACTTCATGTTTATAAGAAAAAAATCAAGTTATATTGCAAAACTATAAACATGGGAGAAATTCTCGTGCCTTTGAGTAACCTTTGTTCTACCGATAGAAATGCCAGGTCATCTTCGGGGTTCAAATCGTCTAGTTGCACCCAACCTGTCCATTTTATCTCGCACTTCCCACCAGATGTCCAGGTCTTCGTAATCCAACCAAACACCAGGAGAAAGAGAAAAGGAGAGAGTGGGCAGCCATGTCTGACTCCGGTCCTCACTTGGAATACGTCTGTCAGCTGTCTTCCATGCACGACGTTGCACTGTACCCCATCGTATGAATTACGGATGATGTTGACGATCTTCTCAGGCACATTGTAGTGTAAAAGAAGGTTCCATAATGTTCTCCTATCCACACTGTCAAACACCTCGTGGTTAAGGGATTTGATGCAAAGTGACCAGTTTCATACAATTGATTGTTCAGGGATGATCCGTAGTGTCGCGATGTGGTCTATGAACGAACAATTCTTACAGAATCCGATCTGTCAATCTCAAGGTTTGGCGTATACAGAGTCTTTCATCCAGTTCAGCAACACTACGTTGAAAACTTCCTCTGGTACCGATAGTGGTTTTCATATTTGCTCAGATTACCCTTCTTTAGTATCTTGATGTAATATTCTTCTTTCCAGCCTATCAGCACTTACTCTTCCTCCCAAATCCTTCTAAATAGAATGTAGCGAACCTTATCAGCTACCTCTGTGTTCGACATCAGTACTTCGACTGATATGTTTTCTGGACCCGCCACTTTTCCACTCTTTATTTGTCTAATGACCATGCTGATTTTTTCTAATGTTGGCTACGTAGAAACAACTGGAAGACCTGTAGGTGCTGCTTCGATACTCAATGGATTCAGTGGAGCTGGCCTATTCAGGAGTTCTTCAAAATGTTCTACCCATCTCATGCTCTTTTCTTGAATCTCAGTGATTGTCTTGCCTTCTCTGTTCTTGACCGGCATCTCTGGTTTACTTTATTTCCATGTCAGTTTCATCGTCGTGTCATATAAATGTTTCATATTTCGTTCTCTTGAAGCCCTTTTCGTTGTCTTTGCTAGCTCTTCCACGTATTTCTGTTTGGCAGCTCTATTGCTCTTCTTCACTTTCCTGTTTGCTTCTGTGTATTCAGCGTCTACCCTGACTTTCTCTGTTCTTGTTCGGTTGTTGTTAACTGCTGTCTTCTTGTTCTTCCTTTCTTGAATCCAACCCAGAAGTTCGATAGGAATGCTTCTTGCGGCCCAGCAATGTTTGGCACGTTGAAGTTAGTGCTCTTTAATCCCCGAAATAACGCAATTAAGGCGAAATACAAATGGGTGAGCACGAAAAACTATAATGTATTTCCAATTCGAAATCAGACAGACATCATTAGTTTATACAAACACCAGAACTCCATAGTTGTTTCTTCCTCTTCCAACAGACCTTGTAAGGCTTGAAACCTATTGTTTAGAGCTATCGTGAATTCGTTTTGTTTGTCAGTATTTCGAAGGACGGATGTATTGAACCTTTGCACAGCCGTTTTCTCAGCTGTTCAGTGTTTTTTAGCTTCAGTTTCATCTTGGCAACCCCAGCTGTTGGTGATCTAAAGCTACGTCAGCTTCCCTCCTTGTTCTCACATCTTCCATTAACATCCTGAATGTTTTACTGATGCAAATATGATCAATCTGCTCCCTGTAATGTGATCCTGTGGTACCAATATAGCTTTCTGTATGTTTGTGGGGAATATAATGCCGCCTATAACCATTTTGCTGAATGTACAAATTTGCAAATCTGTCACCATTCTCGTTTCTTTCTCCCAGTCAGTCCATGTCCTCCTATGATATCTTTATTTCCGATGTTGTCCATCCCAACTTTGGAGTTGAGGTCTCTCATCAGGATGGTCAAGTTCTTTCCTGAGCACTTCACCATGATTGATTGCAGCCTCTCGTAAAACTGACCTATTTCATCAGGATTGCTATCATTGGTAGGTGCATAACATTAGATAACATTCATTTTGATCCCCTCCTTCTTTGTTTTGAAAGATGCTTCGGTGATTCTGAATCCATGAGATTCCCATCCTATAAGCGCCTTACGTGCTTGTTTGGACAGCATCAGAGCAACTCCCGGAGTGTGCGAAGAATTTTCTTTTTCGTGACCGGAGTATAGCAGCATCTCTCCCGAATAATCCTTTTCTGATCAGCTTGCGTTCAATTGGTTTCGCTGGTTCCGAGCACCTCCAGGTTGTATCCCTCATTCGGTGGCTCTTACCGGTCTCCCACATTGTCAGGCATCAGATTTGTGAAGTCCGAAGAATCTCAACCTTCACCACGAGGCGTCATAATTTTTCTGAAGGAGGATTTGTAAAATTCCAGGGTAAAGTTTAAATGGTTTAAGTTGTTCATCCTGGTTGGTGTTTTTTTAGCAAGGTTATTTTCTACTGGATGAGGTTGCTGACACTATGCGTAACTATCTTTCTTTACTCAGGCTTGGGACCGACAACAACCCTAGAAGAGCTATGCACTCTATAAAACTGTAATAATAGGCGAAATAGTCAAGGGACAATATTCTATCCAAATAAAACGGAGAGGTCAATTCAAATTGCTCACAAACTGAGCAATCAACTATAAAATAATAACTATACAAGAAATGCATCTAATTACCTTTTATCAGTATCAACGTTCCAAAAACAAACAGGAAACGTGCTTTAATATCAATAACAGAGAATAGAAGTAATCAATTCATAAAGTCACAACTGAAGTACATCAAAGATAGGACAATAATTAAGAAATTTAACAACATTAAACGGTTATTTGCGATTCGGAATTTGTAAGCAGTACGGTAGTAATAGCTGCAATCAACACCATGAAAGGAAACAAATATATGAAAATTAGTCATAATAAAAAAAAACACAACAACATTGCGTAGGTGTTTCCTGCCTTAAATACTTAAGGAATAATTTGATTGGTTAATTTATTTTAAATTGAATGGATGTATAAACAAACTTATATATAAGTCATTTCAATTTAATGTAACCCTGATAATAATTATATCATATTTTATTATAAAATTTCTTAATATGTGATATTATTATTTAAAAAATGTTACGATTATCACAAAATCTATCGTTATTATGGTTGCTATGGCTCTTATTTTATAATTATTATTGTCATGGCAACAATCATAAAAAATCTTTTATGAAAAATGAATATTTTCATGAATTAAATCATGATCTATATACTGAATCATTTAATTCAATGAATCATTTATTTCACAAAAATGTATATAGAAATTTAAAATTACCTCAAAGTAAAACATCATGTACAAATGATATACTTAATATTATATTGGGTATATATCAAAAGAAAAGTTGGGCATTACAATGTTTGATTCATATAATTTTTTTTAATATTAACATTTAATTTTATTATATAGGGTTAGATGCTACAACACATCCTCCATCAGGAATTCTAGGTGGTGCTGTACATTGGGTGGGAAGTTATGATGTATGCCTTAAATGTTTAGGATATCATTCAATTGAAAATGAAGAACCGAAATTTCATGGATCATATTGTACTATGGTATTTAATATGAATACTTCTATATCAATTATTCCGGTAAAATTAATAGTTTATTGTCGGATTTAATTGGATTCATTTTATAGGAATTAAGAATGTCCATTGGATTATGTATGCCTAATACTTGCACTAGTGAAGAGGTTAGAAGTATTATCAATACAAGTAAGATTATATAGTGTTATTTTTGTTTATGATATTAGCTGCGTATTATCTCTTACTTCAATTGAATCAAAAGGAAAGTTTTTGTCATCGACTTGTTGGTGATGTTCAAAAAGACACATGGTATTACATAGCTATGTAAGTATTTCATGTAATATGAATGTAAACCAAATTGACATTTTTTAAGAATTAAAATTTGCCAAACAATAGACATTTGTCACGAAATCATAATTAATTAAGCTTTGGTGTCATGCGAAGTAATAACTATGATTATTATTGATTTTATTTGAAGAAATATTTTATTGAATTGTAGGAATTCCATTTGAAGTAAATGACTGTGTGCTTATTTGAAATAGGTCTTTGCATGACAGTCAGTTAGAACTACAAGGATATACTAAAAACAGTAGTAAAAGACAATTTTACGAGTTATAAGAGTTGTAATACTTTGTCCTGTCTCACCCGTCGTATCTTCTGTAATATTGTTTATATTTGACAGTTAAGAATCACTATCATTCTCACAATGTAAAATTAGAATATAGGATACTGGAGCAAATAAGAACATACTGACTCTCCAAAAATATTCCCGAAATATGTCATCAAGACAAGTCATCATTTAATTTGAATACATTCATTTAAATGCTGATTTTATGCATACTTGGTGATTTATTAATAACTATTATGTATTTTAATAGTTGAGATCATGAGTCAATTGAAGCTAGACCGTCATGGAAAACTTGGAAGCACTGGACGGTCGTTTCTTCTTATTGTGAGAGTCCTCAGCAGTGCGCATTCACGATCTCACCCCACGAGATTCGAACCCAGGACTTGTCATTCTCACGAACGAACGCTTAACCGCTAAACCCCTTCTGATATTATTCAACATATGCCCAATAGTGACGGTCTCCAAGGTATTTTCTAGAGTTTTAATGAGAAGCAGTGACCAGTGGAGTTCAACCAGGTCTGTTGTGAGATAGTAATTTACTGAAGACAATGGTGGATGTGTCGCTCAATTTCGTGAATTAGTTAAAGATAAACATTAACACCGTTGAATGACAGTTAAGTGGTCTAATGGTTAAGCGCTCTGACGCAAGATTTATAGGTCCTGGGTTTGAATCTCATGAGGCGGGATCGTGGATGAGTAATGCTGAAGAGTCTCACAGTAGGACGAAACGACCGTCCAGTGCTTCCATAGTGGTCTAGCTTCAATTGACTCATGATTTCATCTATTAAAATTACTATAATATCCACAAAACCCCTTCTGATACTATTATTTTATGTAAAAAAATAGACAAAGTTATTGCCAGTGGCATATAAGAAGTCCAAATTTAATAAATACTACGAATATAATTATCACATGACACTAGAGTTCACATTTGCCATGCTCCTTAAAAATTCATACTGATGAAGTTCATTTAATTAATTCCTTGGTAAATAAATGTTTGTAAATAAAGAATAATAAACATTATAGAATGAAGTGAATTTATTTCATTTTTTGTCCTTTGATTTATTCACATACGCAAATATTATATATACAGTTACAATTGTAAAATATTTCATTTATTTTGTACAAATCAATTCCTATTTGAATGAATTAGAGAATATGAAATGTAATGTATTCACCTCGTTACATAGTGCTTGTTGGAGGTAGTCAACAGGAAACCCTAGACCTAGGTTTTGTGATACTTGGTGCTCATCAGTAAAGCATACCTGTATTATTTTCGATGGAACGGATGTTCTCTAACGGATTCTATCCCGTGTCACCAAGCTTCACAATTAGATACGTTACAACTGAGCTATTCGGGTCGCGACTGACCTCCTGTAGGACTGAGATGTATTTACAATTGATTGATCAGTGCGTGGTGAAACGGACGAAACGGCCGTTCATTGCTTCCAGGTTTTCTATGGTGATCTAATTTCAATTGATTCATGATCTCAACTATTAAAATATTTTATTGTCAATACAAAATATCCATCGTGAATTTCACTGTCAACCAAAATACGAAATTATAAGCTCATCTTTTTTTCAGTTTTTGTGAAAAATATTTTAAATCGTTCAGTGTATCCACAGTTTTTGCATGTAACAAAAATCAATTAGATCAATCTTAGAGGCTTATAGAACAAATTTTCGGGTGTGAATGAAAAAAATGTTATGATCAATAAAGTGTGTATTTTATTAAATTAATATACACTCATTGACCTTGGAAGTAAAAGTGATGTGTCAATTGTGTTTTATAAGAGTTTTTATTTGTGGACACTACTTAACATATTTATATACCTTTAGTAATGAATAAAGTTATACCCTTTAAATTAATGTTGTTCAATGTCTAAAAATTCTAATATTTCGCTACACTAAATGACAAAATAACGTCATATAGAACTGAGTTATATATATATAGTGTGAAAAATATCCTCATATCAGGACTCAATGTGTTTCATGGATTTTCCGACTGTTTGATAACATGTCTTAATATAATAGGAAATAATTAACTTAGTTTAACGCTGAATAATCTACTCAAAACGTTTATATATTTATGATTTTTAAAGTGGAGGACTAGTAAGATAAATGATTTTTCTTGTTACTGACATAAAGAATTTCAATGTTTTCAGCAAAAATTACGTCCTTCAGTGATACAGTCAACAGTTGCATTTAGTTTATTCACTGAGCTGCGCGGTTTAATCATGAGGCTTTGGTTGTCATTATCAGCACAAACTTCAGGTACAAGTGAGCTAATCGAACTTCTCTACATTTGAGTGATAGCTCATTCTGTTGACCTTGAGTTCAACTACTTATTATTGACCTTTACCCTATCATTGTTTGCATATTTAGTTTGACTTTGTCGCCATTTGACATGACTCTTGTTGCTATATTTTTCCATAATTTTTCTAACTGGTTGATGAGTGAAGCTGTTTGGAATAGTCCTATGGTATAAACCACCAAATTAACTTCAACCAATCTTATCTAGATAAAAAAGCGGAATAACTAGTGTAGAAAAGCTAAATATAATCTACGAAAAAACTGCTCCAACTGCGTGAAATACTGCATCAGGCTGAGTGAGCCCCCCTCTTCATCTTGGTCCCCATCACACTAAATATCTGCTAGACTCCATGATTTATCTTCGCTTATAATAACACACAACTGTGCATACACTGAAATTTTCAATAGAAGAATCAAAGAATTTTTAGAAAATTGTCATTCAGCTTGGCAATCAAGAACCAGAATGAAATCAACCAACTTTACTGACAATTTGGAAAGAATTTGAACAAATATAGCAACAAGAATCAGGTCAAATAGGGATAAAGTCAAAGTAAATATGCAAACAATGATAGGGTAAAGGTCAATAATAAGTAGTTGAACTCAAGGTCAACAGAATGAGCTATCACTCAAATGTAGAGAAGTTCAATTAACTCACTTGTACCTGAAGTTTGTGCTGATAATGATATTCAGAAAGAGAATCAAAGCTTCATGATTTAACTACCCAACTTGAAGAATAAAATTTCAATAAAAATTATCTCTCTGAGGTACAAATCTGCATCATTTCAATTTAAACAACAACAACAACAAGTATTTTTATTTGGTGATGAGTTACAAAGAAGTACAGAACAACTGTTCGATATCTACTTGTTTTCATTGATTGATTACCCTGTTAATTCTATTCTGCATTTATCAATCACTTTCAAAGGAAACAAATCACTGAAAAAAGTTATCTCATTAAATTAGAGAAAATTAAAAATCATTTGTTTCTTGACAGTCGTGTTGATTAAATATTTCAACCTAAACCTAATTAAGTCACTAATGAACTAATAAGAAAACAGTCTTATTCAGTTATATGGTTATAACATGAACCACCTGATGACATGTTTTAAATTAAGAAGAGCACAATGATTACTGAGTAATAGTGTGGCTGTTGTAAAAGTATCATGAATATAGTTGTGAGATTCATCTGAAGATTCATTGAATTTGAAGATTGTTTACGTCAATGATTAACACCAAAGGAATATATATTGCATTCTTTTTTTTCACTAACTAATATTGCGCACACATAATACATTCAGGGATTAAACTCTGGACAGTGATGTTTGTTAGCGAACGAATTACACTTAGATGATCCAATGGTTTACATTTCATGCGTCAGTCGATTCATACATAATAGCATGATAATCAGTTAAAGTAATTGGTGGACAACCTTCTTCCTAATGATATAACTGAATTGAGCCGTTTGTCATTTCTTCTTGAAAGTACATTAATCCATCTTTAAGTTGGTCATATATAAGCAAACAGTTGGTGTTTGGTTAAGACGTTCGTTGATAATTCACTGTTTATTAATACTATTGACCTAGTATAAGAAACAAACTGTTTGTTTGCAATAATTCCAAATTTATTTTGACGAAACTTCCAGTTGATAATAATCAGTTTAATGTATTCATTTCTGTTAACGTTTTAGTATCTCTTACATTATTGTATAGCACTCCACACCGTTACATCTGTAACTATGTCCACTTGGGCTTTATCTTTTAATAGAACACTTATAAGGATAAAGAATAAAAGAAGAGTTCTCTCACAAAAATATTGTACCGTTTACTCATATACTCAATGATGAAAAACATCTTGGTTTCACTTCTATGAGAAGTTTTACCAAACAATATTGCTTTTAGAGTGAATATCGAACTTCTGTCCATGAAAAGTTTATTTAGGGATATTATATATATTACACCTGTTACTACTCGTGGAGGAGCATAGGCTGCTAACCAACATTCTCCATCCAACTCTGTCTTGGGTAATCCTATCCAGGTGTTTCTAGTTGCTATTCGTCCTTCTAATGTCTGCTTCTGATTCTCGGCTAAGTTTGTTCATTGGTCTTTCTTTTTTGTGTTTCCCTTAAGGATTCCAATCTAGCGTTTGACTCGTAATGCATTCTGATGATTTCCGAAATTTATGTCCTATCGACTTTAGTATCTTCTACTAATTTCCTTTTCAGCTCGAAGCTGGTTCGTTCTCTTCCACAGTAGGTCAATGTTGATGATAATATGAACACTTTAAAATACAATTGAAACTTATGCTAAACTCTTGGATAACAGAGAATATTAAACCTCAAACTCTAGTCACATAGATATGAGTTATAAAACAAACTGTTATTCACTATGTAATTTAATTTGGGTGCAGCAAATTAAACAATACATTCTACTTATCTCATAAACCGATTTTTGTTCTTTTACAGATCATTATGTTCAGTATTAACTATCCTTGTGATAATTGCCACAAGTATAGATATGTTTTTATACATTAAATGGTATCATATACAACATTTAAACAAGTATATTACTGGAATAAATCATATCTCCGAAAGAAACTCAATTGAAAATGTAAATCATATTGAAGAACAAACATATCGTTTATTAGAATCAGATGATATTATCCATAATGATCAAGAACTGGAAAGTGTGAGGATAATTGATGCGAAATACTTGACAACATTCAATGAATATAGAAAAAGTAAGTCTAATTATTATTACAAAGTTATATAAAATGTAGATTGAAAGATTTCAGTCAGCAACTACTGTTACTATTGGATAAACGATTGGTGATGTGACGTATAGTACAGTTTAGGATATCGACCTGATTCGATGTTAGAAATTTGAAAACTAGAATATAATGTGTAACTTAATGTCCGCCAGAATGTTTCAAATGAAGATACTGAATTATTGATTATGATTACAGACTAATGATAGGTTACTTTTATGACTAAGAATGAGGATTTATAATACTGTGCTAAACTGATTAAGTTATTTTACAACTGAAATATGGTTTATTAATGATAAGTCTCCAAATGTGATAAAGTTCTAGATTTGTTATTGTCAGAGATCTTAGATTATACAGAACGATCATGTTGGGTAAATCATATAAGAACCAACTGTAAAAAGAACGGATGGATACATTTAGAAGTATTAAAATAGTGTCACATTGAAAAAGCAAGGAAAGATGAGCGAACTAAAGACAGATGCTCATGTCATTGGCCAGTTACAATGAAATCAAAAAGAATAGTATCATGTAGGTCCAAGTTGATCCTATTCATTTATAGACTCTAGTTTCAGATCACAATTATATCGTGGATCCATCCTGAAATTCCTCAGCTTTAGATATGGCTTATGCGATTCGAGAATGTGTTTGTGGATTGATTTAATTTACTTCAAGCTAACCAGACGCAAGATATCTCTGTAAACCAGTACCAAATGGCTTGGCATATACAAGATATGTCCTAACTGATTTTGTTGATGATGATTCACTGTCACATTAGGAGAATGACAATCTCAACCATCTCAATACCCTACAACAAAACTCAGAACCACCTGAGTAATCATAGGTTCAGTGCTCTGAAGATAGTGGTTTTACGATATTAACAAGTCACTAAGATCTATTTTCATTAACCAAGTTTCATAGGTGAAAGTAATACAAAGTGAAGTGATGTGCAGAGTGCTCGCCATTTAGTAGGTGAACAGATACACTGTCTATTCAATAGACAACCCAAGCTAGAAAAGCTGAATGACTTCTGAATAAAGATCCCATGTCTTCGGATTTAAACAAATAATTATTTCATTCCCAATACACTGGCTTAGTTTACAGTTATATACTTGAAGGAAATAATTAGGAATCTTTGTAATATAAATTTGGATGCACATCAGAGATTTCTTAGAAACTGTTTGGCCCTACTGATTTAAACGAGATTTAGCTGTTACCTACTAACAGCACATTCTGACTTAGTATTATCCCTAATGTTGTGCCTTCCAAAATCGTTAACTATTTATGTTGATCACTTCAGGGTCAGTCAGCCAGTAACAACGTAGAACTTCGTACATACGTACATCAGTTCGAGTTGCCACACCACATTAGCACAGAGATGCAGTTGTCGATTCAAATCCAATAGTGGTAGAGGTAGTAAGAGAATAAGCAGAAATCGGAAAGACTAGGGTTTGAAGATGTCATTTAAGGAGTATAATACAGTGAAATAAATTGGGAAAGAGAAAAAAGAGAGACAAAGAGAATTCAGAAGATTAGAATTTGGGAGAACACAAAGAGTGCATGCGCCTGTGTCATTGAAAACGATTTTGAGCCATGTCATTCAGGGTCTCTAACCATCGGTTGCTATCATCTCGTGGTCCCCAACCAGGTAGGCTACACCTACCAACATGACTCAGTCCACTTGTCAGTGACTTCATGGATTTGTGCTATGTTTCGGTCTGGCCGCCCCTAGCTTTCTTCCAATCTACTCCTATACAACAAGACATCGCACATCGAGGCAGTCGGTGGTTGGGCATACTGATGAAGTTTCACCACTTCATTAATCAATCCTTACCTAGTACCTGTTTCCTAACAACTGCATTACTTACTCGATGGTCCCACGATATACGAGCAATGTTTCGAAGACACCTATGATCGAATACTAGTAACCTGCTAACATTCTCTACTCTTACCGGCCATGTTTCACTGCCATAAATTAGGACGGAACGAACTGCTGCACAGTAAACACGTCCTTTGGTTGATAGACGGATATCTCGCCTACGCCATAAATGACGCAAGTTGGTAAAAGCTAGTCGAGCCTTCTGTATCCGTGCTGAGATGTCGTCACGCTAGACTTCGAAGATAAGTGAAGCGGTCGACACGCTCAATTACTTCACTCCCTATCATTAGTTCGGGTGTCGATGTAACCCAATCCTGAGGTAAAATTTTGCATTTCGGGGGGAGAATCGCATCCCGAACATGCTTGCATTGTTGCTTAGAGTGGTCAGAAGACTGCATTTTGTCAGAGTCTTCATTTATATTAATAAATTCTAATAATGACAAATTGTATAAACTTTAACTTTGGAACTCTTATTATATAATTTTGTGTTTGCATCTGGATGACTACACATATATTTCATATCACTGACTTGGACTCATATAAAAAACTGAATACAGTACCGTTGGGGATAGGGATTTCAAGTGAAGTCTAAATGCTCTAAATTTTAACGTATAATATGCCTGGGACTTCAGCTAGGAAGTCCTAATTTAATACTTACTCTCTAATTAGATATAATGGGATTTACCAGTTCTTTGGTTGACTTTTCCTTAGGTGTATTCTTTCAACGCAAAGTACCTCAGTTCATGTGCATCCAAAACCCTAATAAATTAGCTGAAATTTGATGCTGAAAACACTATGTGTTGAGCGATCATTAAACAATAAACATTTCCAACAAATTTGAGTACTTTGAAACTCTATTGTTAGCTGGTTACCCTTCATATATTTTGGTTTTCTATAAACATTCCTCGATAGAATTTCTTTAGCTATTACAAGAAAAAGGTTATTAAGTTTTCCCAATCACTATTACCCTTTTGGTCATTATCTGACTGAAAATTAAACTACTTATAGTCGTACTTAGTCATTGCACTGTTCATTTCAACAATCACTCAAACGATATCTGTTTCCAGGAATTTAAATATTTAATTTTAGGTGGTTAATATTTGTGTTATACATGTTTAGACTAATAGACCATATAGTTGTAGCTAACTTAATTTTGTTTAATTCTTAGAATCACCAGTGTAAGCAGTTTGGCTTTATATTGAACTGTTATTAATGTTAAGTGGTTAAAGTCCACTTGTTAGAATCGAAAACGTAGATCTCACGCCAGTTGGTATTTATTGATAATGCATATATGTAATCACGAAGAATTCCACTAGTAAGAATGATTGATTTTCATAATTTTAGTCCACTAACTAATATTAGTTAGACTACCAATTGAAACTTAGAAGTACTAGACAGCCCTTCCCTTCTCTTACGCGACTTTTCAACGGTTCTCATCTGCAACCACGAATCCAGGAGCTAAACTTATGGCCTTCGATCATGCGCTCGAGCATTTAAACTTTAGACTACTGAAGAAGCACCCAAATGTAACAATATCAATTCACTGTATTAAGTAACCATCATCCATTGCGTAATTCACATCTGACATGGTTTTGCCCTACTGGTCATGGCTTCCCACTAGAACTACAGGAGTTACATCTTGAAGCTAATAAGTAGTGACCTCCTGATTGTTACAAATATATAGAGAGTTTATGATTTACAATATGAAGATTCTATAATTTTCATCGATCCTCTTATACTTTAAATTGTTGGAATATTGATGAACTTACGATGAAATTCATTTCATACTCTGTTAATAGTGTAAATTAATTGTAAAACCGACAACTGCAGCATGTCTACCTCATTTTATAGTATTATTTATTATGGATTTATGTAAACATAATTCTAACCATAGTTTATATGAAGTGATTTAACTACAGGTTAAGTATATTTGATATATTACTATGTTATTGTATCAAATACTCATATTGTAAAGTATTAAATGATATCATTTTCATTGAAATGATCTAAATACCGGATGTTCTTTGTATCAATGTGAATTAAGTTTTACTATTCACGATCTGATCAGTTTTGGACTAAACAGTAAACTTTTCAAATCATTTGATAACACTATTGAAATTTTGCATGGTTTTTATTAAACTAATTACAGAATTGTACTGTTTATTCATTGTTAAGTAACGTTACTCCAAATATTTGTGTGATAAATGAAAGTAATTGTGATTACAAACAATAGAACTGTTTGTTGTGTACTGAAGCCAAATAGATTAGACATTCTGAACGTTTAAAGTAGATCTTGGTCACTCATATTGTCAAGAGTTATATTCTTTCAGTTTAATTCAATAGTTTTATTGCATAAACACAATTACCTGTTAGTGCTTAGATCATATTTAGCTGTATGTAACCATAGTAACTCTATGTCATTAACACAGAAAGCTTGTGGAGATTATTCACTATCAGAATGGTTTGTATCACAAGTTGATTTTTAGCTAGACAACTGATGAAAATAAAGGGGTTAAAGTCAGCCACTGAAGTAAATGACAAATAAAACAGTTTTCATAAACGTCCTACGCATAAAATTATCGTGAATTTACTGGTAATTTCTGAAAAACATTCCAGTTAAAAGTCATGATCTGTGAATAGTAATGGATGAATGTAACACAATATCACGAATTGACTAGAATTGAAGTCGTGGACAAATGATTCTTAGCGTTATAGTGGTTACTTAATCCACTCTATAACACAACATTAATCCAGCAGCCTTTAGTTTTAAATATTTATCTGGGTCAAGTCAGTCGATACTGATAAATATTTGTTGTCTGTTAAATTCATTTTACTTCAGTTATTACTCTGTGCACAAGAGTTATGACAGCAAATCTGAAGAATGACACCTCAAATTGCACGTAGATAACAAGATTCTATAAATTCACTATATCTGTTTGTAATGTCTTCATTTCACTAAAATAGTGGGCTTGACTTGATACACCAAAAAGTATTAATTTAAACAAATCTAGTCGACCAAAGAAGTAGAAAGTGAACAGAACTGATGGATTGTGGCTGGTAGTGAGATACATGACTTGAGGTTTGTCCTATTTGGGAC